CACACACACACACACACACACACACACACACACACACACACACACACACACACACTGAAATGTGACATGTTCTCTGAGTGAAAGCCCCAGAGACACCTCTCAGAAGTGCAAATATAGCCTCACCAATCAAGGTAAGTGGGGAAGAAACTGACCTTATGGATGCTGTCCTCATTTGAATGTTTATGCTAATGTAGCCTCATTAAACACAAATGGCCCAATCAGGAGCCCATGACAGCAGGTAATAAATCATTTGTGGGTGCTGTCAAGATCTAAAATAATTTAGAACATGACTTGTGTTATCTGCTCACTGCAGTTAAACTCCACCTGTAATAGAGCTCTATCATCCATTGGGATTTTCTTTCAGAATAAAACGATGCTCACGACTGTAGGGAACATCTGAACTGACCACAGTGGCACCAAACACGTCTTAATTTAGTGAACGGACTGCAGTGCAACGGTGAGGCTCCTGGTGATGCTGTGCTGCTGTGAGGAAACGTATCAGAACGTGGAAGATTAATTTGCTCAGGAAAGTCCTGTAAGCTTGAAGGAAGTCGGCAAATGGGATTTTGGAGAATCATGAGTCAACATTTTAGCCTGAACTGAATCCCAGCAGTGCTTGTTCTGTCATTTGTCAAGTTCTGTGAGACTTTGACAGCAATCCTCGCTGCTGGTGGGATTAACCAATCATAAGTTGCACTGGGAGAGCTAAGTGGTTAAGCCTATAAGARTTTAAGGGAAGCTGAAGGAAGAGACTGTCAGAAATAGTGTCATACCACACTCGCTACTTCAGAGCCTCCTTAGAGTAACAAGAGGCAAACTCATATTTTATGACAGCTCTAGGTTTATGTTACGTAAAGTACTTACAGTATATTTTGTTGGAATATTTAAGTTTTGAGWGTCTTTGTTTGTCTAAAGATAAGACAATTTATGGCACACAAAGGCTGATAGAAAAAGGCAAAAAAGACAAAAAGGACTTTCAATTTAAACAACCATTTTGGCCATTTTCTGATTTCAAACAAAGCTGTATATTTTGTCAGTCCTGTTTATCCGTACTGTTCATTAATTGTCTCATAGATGCATATTTTTAAAATGTAAGTTTCTATCAAWAAACCAAGACTGAAAAAACCTCATGACTTCTTAGGGTGATACAGATAATAAACAATGTGACAAAATGTCATGGTCTAAATGTTTGATCTGTCATCTGGCGAAGCGTTAGTTAATTCAGGAACACGTTRTGTCCTTTGTTCCTTTCATGTCCTTGTTAAAGCGTCTTTTTGTCAAACAAGTCTCCCTGCTCCATTAGCTACCTTTCAACTGTGAAAAGGCACATTTATCATCTTTTATGTACACAGTTCAAAACCAACAAAACTGCCAACAGGGGATTAACTCACTTTACTTTTTATTCAAGGTCTGTCACTCTGTCTGGCTCTGCATCACTTAGATCCAAAGGGAAACAGAAAAATATTGAATGGGTTACAAAGAAATGCTGTGCGATTTTGTTTCACGGAAAATAAATTCAAGTTAATTTGGTGACACTTTCTACAGAACCCTTTTCAGGTTTGTAGATCCCGACAACTGTTGGATGCTTTAACACAAACACGTCCTGTCCTTACTGTTGCATTGCATTTATGCAAATAACACTTTCTATTATGAAATAAATAAATTAGCTATAAAAACATAAAATACATCTTCACACAAAATAAATGGTTGGCCAACAAAATGAGCAGTATCACAAAAACACAGACTAACATTTATCAGATGGTTTTAATTTCTGGTCATTACTCAAACAAATAGCTGTTGTGTTTTTGTATCATTGGTTCTCTGAAGTTTTTATCACCCACTTCCACAAAAGGAGGATAATGTAACTGTTATCGGTGTATTTGCGTTGGTTTGTTTGTTAGCRAAATATTTCATGAACCATCGGAAAGATTTTAATGAAACTCTGCAGAGAATCACCATTTAAYCTTTGGAGTCAACTTGATTCAAGCTGTTGTTTGAGCAAAAACAAAAATGGCAATTATTTTGTGAGTTGTATTGATATTGAACTAAAATTGCACACAGTAGCAGTCAAACAGTTCTTATTGTAAGTGCTAACAATTTACTCATATTTTTTTTGTGACTTTAAGCCTGCTGGCCTTTTAGCACAATATTTCAAGAACTTGTCAGCAGATCTTAATGAAACTCAAAGAACGAGGTTATTTGATACACATCAACAAAAAATTACTTTAAAAAAATATCAGCCTGAATCAAGACAGCTACCACAGCTTATCAACCTTGGAAAACACACACAAAGAAAAGATGAAAGTTAGTGAGTTTTACAAATATAAACTAAAATTTGGCATGGTGGTAGTGGGCGTCATCCTGATTACATATCATCTCAGATCTGATTAAAATTTGACGTCTCAACAGCTGCTTCCAGGTCTGACCCACATTAAGGTGCAGATAATGTCCTAAATACTTGCAGACTCTTCCTCCAACACTGGCACAGATATGCCTCAGTGTGTTGTGAGATAACCGACTTTATGCAGACAAAAGGAGCCGGAGGGGGGGAACAAGAATTAAATAACAACCATAAAGTCATTAAAAGAAAAGCGGCGGCAAAAAGGCTCTGACATGTTGTGTCATTGTACAACCTAATGAGGTGTCTGATTCCAACACAGTCCCTTTCACCTCCTCTAATTACCTGTCATGTAGTCTTACTTGTCATCTCTTTCCTCTCACTTCCTTTTCCTTCTCTCAGGTGTTCTGCTATTCTTATCTTTCAACAACAACCCAAAAAAGTTTTCTTTTGGAGAATAAAGTTCCATCGTCAAACCTGGCCTTCACTTTGCCCCTCTGTCACCCCCGTCTCCCAACCCTGTCTTGTTTTTTTCATCTGTCACTTTTAATCCTCCTCTGAGGGATTTAACAGGATAAAAGGTTAAGTTGCTGACAGTGTGTAGCAGGTGTTTCCAGAAGCGGCAGCGGGATGTTAACATTGCACCACTTCCACTTTGTCAATGTCACCGCTCCGTCCTGATGCCTTTCCTCGGCTCTCGTTGTTCGTGTTTGCACACACTGCC